AACTTGATAAACCGTGGTCTGCCATAGGGCTTGGTCCAGGATTGTCTGTACAGCCGGCGGGTCACTTCCGAAGACTCCTGTTCTCTGAGCGGCGTCATCTGCTGCAGCCCGCTCATTCGGCAAACAATGTTCAAGGCCTTAATCCTTTCGCCTTTCTTCCAGCCGGGTAACTGTTTCACGTCAATACCAATGTACCTCAAAGGGGCAATGTCTTTGGTGACTGCTTCACAGCCTTCGGTTCTTTGCGGGCTGCACAGGTGGCGCATTCAAAGGCCTTAGCCATTTCCGTCACCTGTTCACTCGCGCCCCGATGCCGCAAGATCCTGAGCATGTCCGGAATGCTTGCATGACCCAGATTCACGTGTAGCTTCTTCAGTGAATTCTCCAAATACCTTCGCTTTTCCCCTTTGATCTCGTCGTCTGCCAACACATGCTGCCCGGCCTGCTGCATCGATTCCTCCAGTGCTGCTCCAGCCAGAATGCGCCGCACCAGCGTCTTCGGACACACCTGGGATTGGACAGACCGTTGTTGTCCCCCCGATGCCCCTTCAATCGTCTGGTGGGCATGATTCCCAGAGCACTGCAACTTCTCCAGCTGCATGGCCACCCCGAAAGATGATGTCAGGAAACCCCAGCATTTGCCAAATAATCGCCCCGACACCTGGTCATGCAGTCCGACCGCACATGCAGGAACATCCACCAAAAAATGGTCACCAACCAATCTGCGAACCTCCTCCAACTGCCAGGCACCAGATCCTTTGGATGACTCCATGATGAAATGTCTGCTTACTTTCACCTGCTTTTGTGCTATCATGCAACACCATTTGACCATGTTCCGGGCTTCCTCTACCTCTGACAGAAAACCTTCTTGATTCCGCCTTTTCTCAGGGGGTGTGAGGTTCTGCAACCGTGACAGGGGGCCACACACCGGGAACATGATCACCAGGTCGGGCTCCCCAAACTCCCAGGCATTCTCCACCATGCGCCGCTGCTGCGGGTCTCTCCAGTCCCAGTTCTCACTGAGATCATAAACTCCGGCCGACTCGTACCCAGCGCGTGGTGCTTCATCCCGGAATTTTCCTGGGCAGAAGATCTCCATCGCCTTCTTCTGATGCTCTCCGGCCGCCATGACGTTGGCGATCTGGCCCTGCAACTCCTCGCGCTGACCACGGGACATCACTCCCCAGACCCCACCCTCGTCCTCGTCCGACATCTCACCGTCGGAGCCGTCCAGAGGGCCGAGCTGGTTCGGAAGGTCACCCACGTGCAGGACGATCTCCTTGGACGTGATGCCGTCCATGAGGTCCAGCTGATACGAGCCATTCGGCGGCTCCACCATCTTTACCTTGGCACCAATCTTGGGGAACTCGATCTCGTTCGTGACCAAGTTCATGTTGGCACCCATTGCCTTCAAGCACCTCTTTGACACCAGCATGGGGACGTCGCCCGGCACCACAAAGAATACGATGAGCCTGGATGAAGGACGGAACCTTCACCTTGCCAATTGCATCCGTGGATCCATTACCATAACGCTGCCGCGATGTCCTTCTCCTCATAGGACTGCCTTGCTTCTGCCAGAATCACTGCCTTGCGATCTGGCGCCACCTTCGCAAACCTGAGCAGAAGGTAGCCCCTTGCCACACTGGGAAAACTGATCCCCTCAGCTTCCGCAGCGGCAAAGGCCGATCGCACCCGTCCAGTGAACACAGAACTGGACTCCTGCTTCTTGACCTCCAGCCCGAAGACACAGTCGAGGACCTCTCCGATGTCGTGCGCCTCCTCCTCCGGGAAGCGATTGTCCAGCACCTCGTAGATTATGTCCTCGCCCCCCGCTGTCTCCAGCTTCTCCAGGCTGATCTGGTCAAAGGACCTCAGCGCCGTTCCATCCAGCAACGTGAACAAGAGCGGCCCAAAAGCCTCCGCCGGCATCCCCTTGGCCTTCTGAACCGCCAGGAATGCCCTGCTCCATTTCTTCCAGCGCTTCCACTCCTTGGTTGGATCATCTCCATCTCCACCGAACCTCTTCTGGAACTGCCCGCCCTCGTTCCCTGAGGACTGCATCACCAGCTCGCGCTACCAATTTGATCGCGGCCAGCTCCTTTGTCTCAACGACTCATCGCGATGCCATCTGGCGTTCCCCGCCATCAAGGACTACGAGTCATTCCCTATGGGCCGCAAATGTTACAAGGGTTAAGTCGCACAACCGGACACTTTCGCACACGCGCACGCGCACGCACGCGCACACGCACACGCACACGCGCACACGCGCACACGCACACACGCACACACGCACGCACGCACACACGCACGCACCACACACACACCACACACACACCACACACACACCACACACACACCACACACACACCACACACACACCACACACACCACACACACCACACACACCACACACACTACACACACCACACACACCACACACACCACACACACCACACACACACCACACACACCACACACACCACACACACCACACACACAC